TGATCTACATATTTCAGACCTGGAAATCATCAGTGTATCACATATAATAGTACGTGTACACATACTCCTATCTGATTTACAGATTCAAAGTGACCCCAAACCTTAACTGTATCTTAAAATGGAATTATAAAGAAAATCATAGTTTCAGAAGTAATACTGTAAAGCCACTACCTGTCCATAGCATCAAATTAATCTATGGTGCAGTTACTGCAGACCCAAGTGTCTTTGTGGATTCTAGAATAGTTTTTGCTTGATGTTCTATCTGGCAATTAGTAGTTAATTGTTGGTGAGGTTTTAAATCTGCTAACATTCAGATAAGGGCAGGCAGCCAGCACCACACTCAGTGAAGTTTTCCATCTGCCTGAGCTGTGCAGTATTATTAAGAACAGTGTTATTTCAACTGTGAAAAAAGTAGGAAAAAAAAAATACAAACACAAAAAGCACAACACACTTTTATTGTACAGATTTCAATGGCTCATTCATCTGGTAAAAATTTGTTAAATGGTTTGCCTTTCTTATGTTCAAGTCTTTAAAAAATAATTTAAAAAGAACAAATTTACATTGTTCCTTGACCTGATTATCTTTTCAAGCCTTCAATGTACACAGTTCCAAGTAAGAGACATCCCAGTGTCTGCTTCCTGAGAATAAGATCAGGAATGAAGATTTTAGTGTGCTGTCTCTGAGGCCCAATTCCACCACACTAGCACTGAGAGTGCACAGGAAGAGCTAATGAACATGAAAAAGAAAAAGGTTTACATTTCCCTTGAATTACAAAGCTCAGCTCAATAAGGGGTCCTCTGTGCCCTGGGAACCTAGGCTTCAGTTTAGCAAGTAGATGTGCAATTTTATTCAACCTTATCCTTTGATGAAGTACATCTCATTCGTAAGTCTCAAAACTCTTCAGAAAGAAAATCAGAATAAGTCTTTTTTTCACAGCTGAAGTTGTCTTGCCAAAGATCAGACACTGATCCCAGACTGACAGCTGGGATCCAAGTTGCTTGACTTCCAAGTAGTTCAGAACACAGTCTACCAAGCCACCCTGGCTTGTGTGAAACACTAGTTAGAGTGGTTTATATGTAGGGGAGACACTGACAAATATCCATACAGGCTAAGCAGATGGCCCATAGATGGGCTGCACTGCTACTGTGGTAGAAAAGCATTTTATTTCCTCTGGCCCTACCCCTTCTTGCACATAGAGTAAATGTATATGCTTATATTATTAAAACATGAGAGCACATTAGACTGAAGAAAAGATGCATAATTTATTTATCTTCAGCTGTGTTTTAGCATTCCCTCGGCTAGTAAGTAGCAATAAAAACGTAACATATATGCCATTTTTCTATGTCAAGCAAGAAGATGTATTTAGTAAAGTGAGGCAAGTTATAAAATAGAGCAACAAGGACTGTTTCCACTAAATGTATTGTACTTCAACAAGAACACACTTCTGTTCTTCTAAAATGACTGAATACTGTCGGTTTGAATGGGAGTTGCAGGGAGTTTCAGTAAAAGAATAATTAAAATTAAACTAAATTAAGAAATAAAAATAAATTATTGACTCATAGGTCTGTCAGTCTTATCAGAAGAAATGATTGCCTGTCCCTGTCCAGCTCCTGGATACAACCATGAATACAGGGACAGCCCACAGGAGGAAATAAGGGCAACAAAACACAAACGAAAGGATACACAAATAAAATCTGCCCATCAGGATTGGAAGCTCCCCAGGAAACCTGCTCATATTACCCCAAGCCAGTAGTTCAATTTCATAGCAAAGGTGTGGTTCAATCTGCAATGTGCCATTTCAGACCTGTGTCTGGCAAGTGCTCCCACATGACAATCTAAGGGTTCCACAGCTATTCTGCCCTCTACACCCACCTTGAGCTTCAGCAATCTGAACAATAAGCCTTGAGGACCTTGCAGGGTTAAAAAGGCAAGACATTTTATGTGACAGCAACAACAGAACAACAAGCCACCTGGCATTTGTGCCTAAGCCCTATTTTAAGGATGCTAGGCAGCAACACAGATACAGCTGCTGCTGCCTACTCAAAGCAGTTTACAGTTTGAACCTGAATGTTAGACAAGCCATACAAAGCCTGAACTATCAACCTGCATTTTGTATTTTCATGACATTCACCCACCTGTATACTCTGACCACAGCAGAGGCACCTCTCAACTTCCTATTTCAGTGACCTGTCCTCAACTAGCCAGTTAGTGAGGTTTCACATTAAGGGAAGTTTACTTTCTACTCTAACCAGCATTATTTCTCTACATATTCATCATATCTGCCAGACAACTTACACATTCAGTTTTGTCCCATGTATGTCCCAGAAAAGATCAGGATATAAGGTATGTTTCACATGACAGATCATCAATTAGAAGTGAACTTTAAACATCCATAAAGCTCAAAAACAGACTAAAAAATCAAGCAAGAGGAAAATATTTGTAGCCTGGATTTAAGAGCTCCACAGCACTTTAGACACCTAAATGAGCAATTCTACAGCTTATATAAATGTTAATCAGATACAGAATTCAAAGGCTCTGCTCTGCATCTAAAACATGTTATAGTTCAGAGCTTGTATTCTTAGATAGGTACAACCTACATTCTTTTACTAGACCAGAGCTAAGATTCAGGGCAAAAATAAACATGAAAGCAACAGAGAAGATCCTCCAGGGGGACAGGGGGGAGGGGAGGGAGGGGCAGAGGCGGGAAATATTATCCCATCTTATTTCTGTAGAAATCTGGCAGTCATGAGTTACTGTTTCTATGCTGCTGCTGAGGGAGACAACTGCAGACTTTGAAAACAGGGGCCCTGAGACCATTTCACTCTTCAGGCTTTAGCTTATCTGGTGCAAGAGGCAAAAAGGGGAAATACATTTGTTCTCTCAGACCACATTCTCGTTTATAGCCAACCTATATACTAGCCACACTAGCCATTTTTCTCTGGGAACCTATAAGCACGAATAGTTACCGACACAAAAATCAGTTCTCCAACGTAAAGCACATCCAAAGGCACCTAGTGCTTATGCAAATTACTTCACACAGCACCTACTCTGACATGCATTCCTCCATACAGCTTTCTCCTACTACAACTCCAGCAGATATTATTTTTTACCACATCTCTGAAGACAAAAAAAACCCAAAATGCATTGTTGATAGCATTGGTCCTTCATGTGTGTCTAACCTGCAAGCACAGAAGCTTCCTCTTGCAGCCTCCTCCAGCTCAAAGTCCCACTGTGTTCTAAAAGCTTAATTTAATCTTTCCTGCTGCCTAGAGAGAACTAGTTGAAGCCTAGTTCTTGTCTGAACTCCGCAGAAGTCAGACAGAGGATGACTTACCTGTTTTATCTTATCTGCTCAAATGTGCAATCACTTCCTTGACCTTCTTATACAGCCATGCAGTAAGTGATACACAAGTGAATACAGGAGATCTACACAAAACATTCATAAAAGACAATACAGGCATTTTCCTAGTTCCCTACAATCATAATTGAGCTTCCTCTGGGCAGCTGTGTATCTCTAGTGAGGCTGATTTACAGCTGGGAAAGTAGAAAAGCAGAACTTGCTCCTTCTACATGTGTGATAAAATCTGAATCAAGTGATGCACTAGTACAGTTCCTCAGCAATTAATCTCCTCAATGTTCAAAACTAAACTAAAGCATGTTTTCATGTTCAGACTGTTGTATTGTTTTCATTCTGCTTCTCTTTGGAAGAACTGCAGCTTCACACATTGCTGGATTTTTGTTTGAAAGACCACAAGAGGGTTAAACTAATTTAAGGTGAATACATTTCTCAAGGTAGAAGTTATTGTACTTCTGCAGCCAGGGGGAATTTGATGGGAAAATAAAATTCTTTTTGAATTTTGACCATGAGAAAACAGAAAAATGTTAGCTGAAGATTAACTTGAAGAAAAGCAATCTGTGCCTTTACACTTAGATTAATTGTGAGTTTAATGCAGTCAGATTTGCAGAAAAAACAAGCTGGATGCACCACATCAGTTAAGCACAAGACATTTGCACATAAAACGTTAATTTTCAAAAGTAAATAGAAGTCAAAGAAGCAATGCAAGAAAAAGGCTAAGAATAAAACCTAACAGTGGTTTCCAGGCTATATCAGTTCTATAAATGCCCAATTTTTATAGCCTAAGCTTCCCCCTTTCTTGTCCCCACTACTGGCGGATAGGAGGGAAACACAGAAACAAAGCACCAGTGCTCCTTCTTAATGTGCCACTACTAAAGACAGTTTCTTTAGAAAGCCAAGGACCCTGCATGGAAGCAGAGGGACAAGAGAGTGCTGGCTGATGCAAGCACCACACCTCTCACTGCAAGGGGTGCAGCCTTCAGCCCTACAGATATCAGTGGCAGCAAATGGGTCTTCTCTCTGCTGCCTGGCTGTTTGCTCACATATTTTCCATAGCTTTTATGGAGGAACCTTGCATTTTGCTTGCCATCTTCCCTGCTCATCCATATCTCCCCTTTCCCCTTTTATTTGCTTCCCTTAACTTGTCCTTCTTACCATCACACAGTTCATGGGACACACTCCTCATATGTGGGGTGCCTGAGTCTTACCCAGTACTGCTCAGCCACTTGACTAGATGCTGTGTCTGTTTGAGACTATCCAGGGCACTATATAAGGCACAGCCTTCCTACACAGTGTCCCTGTCACATCAAATAGGGCTGTTTAAGCCTACTGAAACATTCTAATGTCTTTTCAATATCTGAAGGTGCTCCAAGCTCTATCCAAGCCACAGGAGCACACTTACTGCAAAGAGAGCATCACTAGCAGTACTGCTTGGAACAAAGTTTCCTTGCAAATTTCAGAAAAATGGAAAATTTAAAAATTGACAGTCCAAACAAGCTGTGATATTTATTCTTTTACTTCCTTGCACCCTCCCTGGCATAGCAGTGGTACGACCCTCTTTGAGCAGGAATACACACCTCATAAACCCAGCTGCAAAAACACAAATCTATAACAATATTTCAGAACTAAGCTTTTCAATACTCACCCAAGGTGTTAGTTGCAAAGTTTTTTTCGAGTCCATCTTCAGTTAATTCTCTGCTATTCACCATACATCCTGCATTGTTGATCTGTAAGAAAACTCCTGTTAATAATCTACACAAATATCTACAAACAAAACCACACATACAAGCAATTCATGCTAGCTTGCTGTTTTCTGACACTGTAACAAAAAGGTACAAATTGTTTCAATAAACCATGCTATTCATTACTCTGTCACTGATCATAAAAGTTCTTCACAACAAAAAGGTTCTTCAGAGAAATGGTTCACCACAGATATACTACACTAAGAGCCTTCCTAAATATTTTTAAACCATTTTCTCACAGAAAATAATATTCTAGCTGTAGAGCACATACTAGAACATACATATGCATTGCAGTTTTAGTCTCATCTGAGAACACACCAATCCTGCATCATCTGAGCTATGTGGTGATGTACTCTCTGTTAAGAGATCTCTGTATCAGAGAAAAGGCACTAAGGGAAGCTGTTCGACACACAGGAGAATAGGCTGCAGGCACCCCTACCCTCAGCAAATTAAATTAATTAGCTCCAATCAGCAGCAGTTTAGCCAGATCAGTATGTTAGCCCTGAGAAGAGCAGAGCTAACCAGCAGGGGAATGTCACACTGGCTTTGGCTGCATGGACCTCAGTTTTTCTCTGCCTGGCAATCCAGCCCAGGAACCCCACTTGACTCACATGTACCACACAGTACTGACTGTAAAGTAAAACCTTGGGAATATCAAGAAGCTTCTTGTGTGTAGCCAGCACATTCTCGGACACACTTCCTTCTCTGCCTTACCTTCCAAAGGAAGCTTGAGCTTTTCTTTCCCACATTGAAAAGAGATCTGCACCTCCCTGCTCCTTCAACTGCCACTCCTCACAACGTGTTTTACCATTTCTATCAGAATTTCCTCACCTGCTGCTCCAGGTGCCTCAGTTTCATTAAAGCCCCCAGAGCAAATTTTCAGTGCTAAATGAAGAGGTGAGAGTTCTGAGCCCCTCACCATCCATGCAGTCTAACTGTTAGCTCAATCCCTGGCTCATTTTTAGACTGCTCTAGACTTTCTATAGAAGTTTAATCTTTAAGAGGGATCAGCTCGAAGCAAGTGTAATCTGCCCACAAGAGGAGGCATCAGTCCCTGCCATATTCAGTTTAGCTCAGAGACTACATGCTACAGACACACGATTTAAATATGCAAACTTACCAACACATTTAATTTATGTTCAGTTTTGAATTTTTCAGCAAACTTCCAGATTTCCTTGGGATTAGATATATCCACAATATGCAAGAAGATATTCTAAAGAGGAAAAAAAAAGTATTTTACAATCAACATGGAGAGTGAAGAGACCCTATTCACTGCTAAGGTCTGTCTAGGTGAAAAAGTAATTAAGCAGCATGCAGAAAGTATCTCCAGAACACAAGCAAAATAAAGTTAATATACACCACTGGACAATTTAATTCTAGTGCTTAAAACATTTTTAGCCACTTGATTCAGTTGCTTCTGAGCCATAGCTTTTTAATACTGAATTTATTAAGAGAGAGCCCTACTTAGATAAAGACAGGTGACAGACATAGCAGAGAACTAGAAAAATATTGCAAAGCTTGCAAAACTTATGTTTAAACAGTTCTTACAGCAGCTTCCTCTTTAACTGAAAGCAACTTTCAGTTAAAAAAAAAAAGCACTGCTCAAGGTCACAGCATCAGCTAACAATTTAGATTGGAAGGGACCTCTGGAGGCCACTTGGTTCCAACATCATTTCAAGGCAGGTAACAGATCAGGTTGTCCAGTGAAGTTTTATTTCCGAAGATGGAGATTCACCAGCCTCTCTGAGCACCCTGCTCCAGTGGTTGACCACCCTCATGGTGAAAAAAATAATTCCTAATATCTAGTCAATATTTTTCACTGAAGACCCCCAAGAGGAGCATGGCACTGCCTTCCCTACCCCCTCCCATCACATGGCTGTAGACTACAGCAAGACCCATCTTAGCCCACTCTTCTTAACACTGAGCAAAACCAGCCATCACAGCCTCTCCTTGCACATCATGTACACATCACGTGTTTCATCTCCCCAGTCACCTCAGTAGTCCTCCACTGGACTTGCTCCAGGACATCAATGACTTCCTTGTCCTGGGGAGCCTAAAACTGAACGTAAGACTCCTGCTGTGGTCTCACAAAGGCTTAGTAAAGAAAATGCACTTCCCTCAGTAAGCTGGCTACACTTGGCTTCACACGGTCTGGAGTGTGGTCTGTCTTCCTTGCCCCAAAGCGCACTGCTCACTCAGCGACAACTTGTCACCCTCAGGTCCTTTTCTGAAAAGCTGGCTTTCCAGCCAGCTAGTCCCAGCCTGTACTGTGCCATAGGGTTATTCCATCCCTGGGCAGGATTGTGCATCTGCTGTGAGTGACGTTCATGAAATTCATGTCAGCCCACCTCCTCACCTGTTAAATCCCTCTGAATAGCAGCCCTGCCCTCCAGCAATGCCCACACATCATTTAAAATCATCTGCAGTCTGACAAAGATAAGACTGCATTTCACTCCATCATCTGAGTTGTTAAAAGAGAGACATTAAACAGTTATTCCTCCTGTGTTGACTCATGGAGAAAGCCACTAAATAATGGTTGACAGATCAGCTTTGTACTGTTGATGGCTGCTTTCTGAGCCAAATTTTGCAGACAGTTTTCCACACAGCATGTCATCCACTATTTCAAATTACATCTCTCCAAACTGGCTACAGGGATACTAGGGCAGGCCACATAAAAAGCCTTGGCAAAGTTATGGAATGCAGCAAGCACTGCTCTCCGAAAATAAGGGTCATCTCATCACAGGCAGTGATCAGGACAGCCAGGCTAGGTTTGCCCATGATAAACCCACATTGCTTTTAATCAATCCCTTTCCTATGCTTCATGGCTTCTGAAAAGAATTTGCTCCACATTTTTCCTGGGGAGCAAGGTGAGGCTGACTGGCCTGTAGTTCCCCAAATCCTGCTTGCCTTGTTTGAAGATGCCTTCTTACAATTAACAGGAAGCACCTCCTGCTTTGAGAAAGTTTTCCTTCAAGATCAACCAGGTTTACCATGACCTTTTGCTCTCTGTGGCTGTCTCCCATGTTTGCCAACCAGGTCCATAAAAAAAAAGACAAAAACTGCTTTTCTAAAACCAAAGACTGTAATTCTATTTACTCATCCTTCTCACCTGTCTCAATCTTAAATTCCAGAGTCTTGTGGCCACTTCCATCAAGGCAACTATTCAAGATTATTCAAACAATTTACAGCAGCAGAGATCACCCCTAGCTAGCTTGACCAGTGTTGATACCAACAAATGGTTCTCAAGGATCTCCAGAAATCTCCTGGATTGTTTATGCCCTGCTGTGTTGACAGCAGGTATCAGGGTGGTTCAAGTGTGCTATGAGTACCACCACCTGTGACCATGCAGCCTGTACAGGCATCTACAAGCATGTACAGGCATCTGTACAATCTTGCACCTTCCCTGGCATAGCAATGGGATTACCCTCTTTGAGCAGGAATACACACATAATGAATCCAGCTGTAAAAACACGTATCTTTATTTGTCAGGCATTTTTCCTTTCACTGGAAGGATTTAGGAGAGTGCTACTTGGGAACTCATGTTCTTCACCCTCTGTAAGCACACTTGATGAACTCAAGGTCACCCTCACAATGCCATTGGTGCCCATGTGGTTTGGCAACAAGTACAAGTCTGAGGTCAAAACAAGCCCTAGATTTGAGTCCTCAGCAAGTGACAAACCTCCAAGACATCAAGCCAAGACTGCAGATGGGTGCCTCCATGCCCCCAAGGAGGGAGCCTCCAGCCATTATCACCCACCATATCCTCCCAGTGGCAACAACAGTTCAGGCTCATCTATCTCCAACACCTCCCCTGACAGAGTTTGTTCTTCCTCATCTGTTACCATGGCACTATACCTATCCTATAAATGCACATCTGTAGGCAGAACAGGAGCCTGCCTTCTGTTGCCAGCAGTCACAAGCTTCCATTCCTCCTCATCTCAGGAGTCTCTATCCATCACTTATTCAAGCATAGCTTCTAGATGTCCCTCCTTATACATAACGTGGGGTTTGTGATCTGTTCTGCAAAGACCCTGACAATCTCCTGCTTCTGTTCCCTGCTATTATGCAGCCTGCTCATCTTCTGCTGTCACTTCACCTGGCAACCCAGCACCTAGGCCACAGCAGAACGCAACTGATGAGGTCACCATCATGCTCTGCCCGAGGCTCAGCAAAAAGTACCAATCACTCCCTGCAACCCAATATCAGCCACATCATTCCTCTGGAGCTCTATCTGGGCCAACCTTCCTGTGCCAAGCACATGCTTTCCAACCAGGGCAGGAGAGGATGCTTCCAGGTGCATCACTGCATCCACTCTAGCTGCCTCTGAGTGTCAAGTGCCTTCTTCACCCCCTTACATGCCAACTGCTGCATTAACTGCTAAATCCTTGTTAGCCACTCCATGTCACAACAGTCTTGCAATGTTTTGAAATATTATGGCCAGGAATGTGGATGCAATAGAATATTTTTTTTTAAAAAAAAAAAAAAGGAGAAGCTTGACAGAGAGCAAAAGTTCTAATTTTCTAAACCTCTAAAGCTAGAAATATTACCTCTATCCAAAACATCAAAACCCTTTTACTGTTTGTTACGGGCAATTTTCTTGCTTTTTGCAGATTTTTGTTCCAGCTAGTACAAGCACAGTGGCATTTATCAGCATAGAAAAGGATGTCAACTCCTACTCCTCTTCTAGATAGCACTTAGTCTCAAAGACACACCACAGATAGTCTTATGATGTATCTCAGGAAAAGGCAGTTCTAAAATAATTATGCAGAGGATTTTTCTCATGCAAAACAACATATAATCATTAAAGGACCTCCTCTCTTTCCAAGTTGTTTCTTTAAATGCTCATTATACAAGCAAATTAGATAAGTGAAGAAGCTGAGAAAATTATAAAGGCATTATTCCCTGCCTATAATTCTGCTTCCCTGCAGTTAAAAAACACATGACTTCTTCTGCCTAGCCATTGGATTTCAGCTCCTTAGTTGAGTTAGGTCAGAATTTTCTCATTGTCATGTTCATTTCTAGCCAAAAACTTGACACTGCTCTACTGTTTCTAAGTGGATACTCTCTAAAAGCTTTCTACTTTTAAAGCTACTAACATTATCTACTGGAACATAAGCGCTGAAGGTTTTTGGGCAGATGTTTGTCCTGATTTGTCCTGGAGCCAGGACAGAATCAATTTTCTTTTTAGTAATTTTACTTTCCAATTAAGTCTCTTCTAAGTAACTGCACTTTCTGAAATTAACAGCATGTTTTTTAGTCAGTGTCTGTTTCTAGGACTGATAACAACCAATGTTCATAGTTATTGCTGAAGAATGCTATGCAGAAACAAGGTCACTGCTTGATTCTGCTGAACTTCTCCTGTGCTAGAAACAAAAGGGAAGAAATGGGGTTACACCTGCAACCCTCCTGTGGGGAGGAACAGACCTGAGAGGTGACCCAAAACTGACCAAACTAAGTATTCCATTGCATACACATCATACCGGGTATAAATCTGAGGGATCATAAGGATCCACAGCCAGCATCCTGGGAGGACTCTGTTCTGTCTCTTCTTACTTTTGATCCCAACCGCTGTATTCCCGAATCTGTGCGTTCCTGCATTCAGCTCTCATCTGCCACTGAGTACAGGAGTCCAGTCTGGGACTTTCCCAGAGCCTACCCTGCAGCATGGGTGGTGATGTGAGCATTACTGGGGGGAGGGTGATATTTGTTTTCTATATTTTTGTATATATCTCATTATTTTCTTCTTCATCATTATTGCTTTCATTAAAGCTGTATAGGGTTTCCAACCCGTAAGTCTTTCTCCCTTATTCTCATTCCTTTCCCTTTCTGGGAAGGGAGAGGGCATAATAGAGAACATCTATCATTGGTTTAATTGCTGGCCCAGCATTAAACCTTGACAATGTTCAATATTACAAGTGATTTCAGAGACAGAAAAAGACCTAAATCAACACTTACTGGCTGAAGACTGCCACATTGGCTCAGGAAAAGGACCCACAAGCCTGTTCCCTATAAAAGTCCTTAATGGCAGCAAATTTTCAAAGTGAGACTTAATCTCCATTACTAGATGTGCTTTAACAGATTAGCAGAACTTTCCAGTTCCCAAGTCTAGCTGCAGGTGCCTGCCAGATATTAACTCCACTGTGGCACTGAACTCTGCCATGCATTGCTGTGGAAGATGGAAAAACTCTTTGGTGTGTTATACTACAGGATCTTTGTCCAGATGACCAGGAAGAGCAAGTTAAGTCTGGATACAACTTGTCAAGTTGCAGATAAAGCATTGTATTATCTCACTGGATTGCTTCTGAATTAGTACTTATAAAGAAAGATGTTCTTGTGGGCTTATTAAAATGACTCTTCCCAATGCAGTCACAGGTCCCACAGGGCTTCTTGTACAGCTTGTCTAACACTTCTCTGAATGTTGCTTTCTATACAAGTGTCCTGTCCCCAGGGTCACAAAAAAGTTCTGCAGTGCTCACACACTCTTGCATGACCAGAGAAACAACAGGTTTGCAGCCTAGCAAAAAATGGGAGTGCAGTGACTCTGCCATTTTAGAGGAAGAACATTACTTGCCTCAAACTTTTTTTTTTTTTTTCCCCTCACCAAATGATATAAAACAGAACATGAAGGAACCTTCAGAGGTCATCAAACTCATGTCTCTTTCCTGGCTGTCTGACTGCTGTTAGAAAAGGAGGTAACACAGATAATCACTAGTCTTACTATAGCCATGGGATTACACAGTTATAGACACCTGGAAAGTATTCATTTCTACAGAAGGCCTGATCTAATCCACCTCCGTTAAAGAACTGAAGTGTAATGTTGCTTGTGTCACACTAGGGAGCTGAAACCAAAGAGCAGAAATGTAGTCAATACAGTATCTCTAACCATAAAAAATCTTCAGAATTTTTGATCCACGTTAAAAACTATTACTGAAATCAAAATACTGTGTTCAAGAGCCAAGTCACTATTTAAAATGAGGACAGCTCACAATCCAAGTGCTGGGGGTTAACCCCAGTAGACAGTTAAGCCCCACACAACAGCTCATTCACTCACCATCCAGTGGGATGGCAGAGAGAACTGGAAGGGTAAACCAGACAAAACTTGTGGATTGACAGAAAGACAATTTAATAAGTGAAACAGAGCTGCGTGTGCAAACAAAGCATAATAAGGAATTTATTCACTACTTCTCATCATCAGCCAGATGTTTAGCAGCTCCTAGGAAAGGAAGGTTTTATCACATGCAACAGTGATTTCAAAAGTCAAGCACCAAAACTGTGAATGCTGCTTCCTCCTTCTTCCCCCAGCTTTTATTTCTGAGCACAACATCATATGGTATGGGATATCCTTTGAGTCAGCTGTCCCAGTGTGTCCCCTCCCAACTTCTTACACACTCCCAGCCTGCTTGCTGATGGGTGCACTGTGAGAACCAGAAAAGGCCTTGATGCTGTGCTGTTCAGCAGTAACTAGAACATGGGTTGTCAATGCTGTCTTGGTCACAAATCTAAAACATAGCACTGCAGGAGCTGCTATGAAGAAAAGTAACTCCAACAGCCAAAATCATTACACTAAGACAGAAAGACAATGATTATACTTCTTCATAAGCACACCCTCCTGAATAATTACCAAAAGCAACAGCAACAGCTACAGGGATATACTACAGAATGAGGGAAAAAAAAAATTAGCAGAAGGAAGGAGGTAAAGAAGAGATATTGTCAGAAAAGGAAATGGAAAAGTCTGTAGAGCATGGAACTAGGACCACACACAGGACTTCACAGAACAGCTAATGTCAGCAAATCAAGAGCATGTTATTCAGACACATAAAACCTTCAACTCCAATGCTGTAAACTCATAAATGCTGTTGTAAGAGTGTTGCAATGCATTAACTTTTAAAAGCCTCAGCCACATAGATAGGAATAGTAAGTAGGACATCACAAAATGTATCAACAACAAATGTTAAATAAAACAGCAAGCAGCTGATAAATGTTTTTAATCACAGAAAACATCACCTAGTGAAATTAAATCACTTCAAGACATTTCTATGTCCGTATGAAGCTAATGTTAAAAACACAACGGCAAAATTACGTAACAGAATAACCCAAGGCCTTTGAGGTCTTTATATATTAACAATCTTTCTAAGAGTAAACAAGATTGGAAAACAATTCACCTGATTGCCCGTTTCTGACACTATTTCTCCTTTGGCGACCTCAGCTCGTTCCTTATTTCGGCAAACCAGATGAACCGTGCCACCTGGTGGATTTTGACAAAAAAAACACATTTGAGAACTAATTGCTAGATGGAGGGGAGCCGGCAGGGTAGGCATCAGCAAAGAGGGAGGGCCTGAAAGTGAAACAAATGAAACAAAAAACCTTTTGTGATTGCATTCCAGTTTTTGGGAAATCCACAGCCCGCTAGAAGCACTAGCAATACTGGTCAGATGGTCACCAAAATATCATGGGAGCTTCCCAGCAGGCAGAATGTTCCTGAGCTGTGCACAGCCAACAGACCCACTTCTCTGTTGCAAAGAGCTGAGCAGTGACTTTTCATCAATGCTGCTCCACAGGTCTGCCGAGCTCTCAGGGCTCACATGACACTTGCTGTTGAGCTGGGAGCTGATGAGGGCCACAGCACCTCATAGCAGTCCCAGGTCCACTAGCCTTGGGCTATTCTCAGGGGCAAATTGCCCCCAAAAGGCATTGATCCAGTAGTACCATCAGGCAGATCAGACATGCCAAGAATCCCAGCAGGGTCTGTCAAAAGACTGAGGTGAAGGTACTTCACACAAAAGGTTTAGGACACAAAAAGTGGAAATAACAAAAAAACCTCAGAGACTTCTGCTTAGTTCTGGTCCCAATGAAGGCAAGCAGGAAGAAGAAAGTATCACACTGCAACTGGGTCATCACATAAAGCTGCATTTATAGATAAGGCCACTGCATTCTAGGAACTCTCTGCTCAACTCATTTTTGGTCAAGTCTGCATGTCATGTTTAGTGTTGATAAAATCATAGAATTATCCTGGTTGGAAGGGACCTTGAAGATCATCAAGTCCAACCATAACCTAAATCCACCAACCATAACCTAATTTACCTGTTCAGTGCTTAAATCATGTTGCTAAGCACGGTGTCTACATTCCTCTTAAATACTTCCAGGGATGGTGACTCCATCACCTCCCTGGGCAGCCTGTTCCACTGTCCAGCCACTCTTTCGGCAAAGAGATTCTTTCTAAATACCAGAGCTATACTGGAAATTGAAGCTAAGGCATCTGTATCATAAATGCTTCCTTTGGAATATGCCCTAGAAAATTCAGTAAATGTCTTTTAACAACACAGGTGACTAGAATTGCTGCATAAAAAAAAAAAAAAAAAAAAAAAAGCGAGATACAGACTTGCCACTTCTCAACAGTGGGAGTTATGACAAAGACCATGGCCACATATTGCAGCTTAGAAGGCTCTGGTCAGGCATCAAGGGACCTCTACAGGTCTCTTCCAACCCACTTTCCTATGAAAGGAATAAGCAGGGCAAGGATCCACTCAAAGACTTACCATGACCTCGTAAGTTGGCAACAGTAAAGTGAGCCTTCAAAAAGAGGTCTTAAGGCATAATTTTTTCTTATTGTTATGCTTCCTATTCTCTCATAATTACAAGTAATGTGTTAATCTCAGACATAGGAGTACCTGCACTCTTCACTTTTATCTATTGTTAAAGGGCTTGCTAACAGTCCACCATGAGAAGGCTCAAGCAATGTAACCCATGTAAGAAAAACAAGGGTGCCAGGTCACTCTGGTACTGCTCAGAACTCAAATGCAAGGCACCAAGTCTACCCTAGAGATAGAGCAGCCACACACTGCACAGCCCAGTATGAGGTCTGATAACAGTACTTTTTGTCTACGAGAGGGGTTTTTCCACTGAGCACCATTACAGCAAGTGTACTTGGCATGCAGCTGGTGCAGGTAATGCCTCAAGGTTCTTCTGACATTTTCTAACAGGGTCTGATTCCTCCACTGCACTGTCAGAGTTTTTATCAAGTGCACAACTGCAGTGGAAAACTCCCGAATCTAGGATAATAATACAAATGACACTACCAATGTTTAATAAAGTTTCATTAGGGGTCTGGAACACTTGCCTTACAAGGAAAGGCTAAAAAACCTGGGGCTTTTCAGTCTAGAGAGGAGAAGACTGAGGGGGGACCTAATTAGTGTCTATAAATACACGAGGGCTGGGTGTCAAGAAGTCAAGGACAACCTCTTTTCACTCGTGTCCTGTGATAGGATGAGAGGCAATGGACTCAACCCCGAGCACAGGAAGTTCCACCTCAACATGAGGAAGAACTTCACTGTGACGTCTACAGAGCACTGGAACAGGCTGCCCAGAGAGGTTGGGGAGTCTCCTTCTCCGGACTTTCTTTCAAGACCTGTCTGGATGCCTTTCTGAATGATCTGCCCTAGTTGGCATGTGGTTTTTTGTTTGGGTTTTGTTTGTTTGTTTTTGTCCTGCTCTGGAAGGAAGGGTTGGACTTGATCTTCAGAGGTCCCTTCCAGCCCCTAATATTCTGTGATTCTGTAATTCATCTTCACACATATGCCTTGCATGGAAGAAACCATGAATGGACAGGCACTAAATATATATATATCTCTCACAATGAAAGATAAGTCTTTGCCCCGGCAAAGCAGATTCCATGAGAGAGAAATGACAATCAGAAAGAGCAGTGTCCAGTGCTCACCTCTCTGGATGTTCTCACAGTGATTGCAGGCTTCACTGCAAAAGAGGGCTTTAATTACAGATCTTAGGGCAATTAAGGATGCGCATTTGCAGATATTTAAGGAGCTTTTCCCAAAACACAGGGGACAGCACAAGTAATGTGTGCAGGTACAAGCTAATGACATGGAGGAAGTAGCTGGCCTTCAAGCTGATCAGGAACATTCTCATTGTCTACAGTGGAAAGCATCAAACACAAATAAAGGTGGCTTTTAAGGGGCTTGAATATGAACTTTTCTCTTGCTTTTAAGGAGATGGAACTTTTGATGTGACCTATGGACTAGGAAAGGGGTTTAAATATATTTTCCATGGTAAAGTTTGAAATTATTTTAACTTAAACAACACTTTGGAATTTTCAGAGTGGTTAGGAGAAGACTGCAACAAACATGCATCACAAGAAAAGCCCACATCTGCAAAATCCATAGGAGACTGACTCAGAGAAAACATGAACTTGGGCTAAAAAAAATGTTCATCGAGACCATCGCTATTTAAAAAAAATCTGAAGTGCTTGAAGGTAAAGCCAATGTAGCTTGGTTATTCTTTTGCTGAATCTGAATTCCTTACCTTCTTGTCATGGTGTACTTAAAGAGATTCAACTAGAAGCCACAGCTCCAATGGCTGACGTTGACTTTCAGAGTGACAAGTGCAAGAACAGGATCAGGAAGACATTTTTAAGTTATTTTAACTTCGTACGCACAGCACTGCCCACTCTGGATACGAAGACAAGCAGCTTGAGCCCAAAGTTGTTCATTGAGTTCCAAATACTAGACACAGTGACCAAGCCCTATTCAGACCTGGTCAACTTGACAGCTTTCAAATCCTGGCAGGCATGTCTGACTGCAAGCAGAACAGCCACCAGACAAAGCAATACCTACCTTAGGCTGCAACACGCAATGGCAGCAGTGGGAACCTGAAATCAGTCACATATTGGCACTTGATGGGGATCTTTAACCCAAAGACTCTCTCATGCTAATAATTTTGAGTTTCTTTAATTTAAACAAGTCCCCACTTTCCTTCGTAAGATAGTTATGAAACCTAAACAGGCAAAGAAAGAGCAAAAAGCTGCAAGCTCCTCTCTTCTATTCTACACGGCAAAACTCCTATCACTCTTGCACAACAGAAATTATTTTGTCAACTCTGAAAGGGATTAGGTTTATCCTTCAAGAGTAGGTAGTTCTAGTCCATACTATCTCCTTGCTCACAGGAAGCAACAGAAAAAATGGTTGCACGTAATCAGTTAAAAAGCACAAACTTCAGGTTATTGTCATCAAGAAAAAGCACAACGATGTTGCTTCTTTTACACTCTCCCATCTCAGCTTAGCAAAGCCAGTTGTTTTCTTCCATCACAGGACCGTTTTGCAAGTTCTTCAAAACAGTTCAAATGCAACCGGGCTGCTACCTGTGCCAGATCAGCCTTGAACACACCTCAACCAGTCACCAACACCTTTAGATGCCAGTCTAACACAGATTTTGGTAAACGAGCACTTGAAAAACACTCCACAAATCCTCTCAACTTATTTTGCTTCATTATTCCAGTTCCCATAGCGCTGATCCTGCTCAAACCCCTGCAAAATAACACTCCTGACCCCTCCTCCCGGGGAGCTGGGCCTCGGGGTTTCCCCCGGGAGGCCGAACCCGCCTCCCGACCCCTCCGAGCCGCTCCCGCTCACCCCTCCTGGCGATGCCCGTGGCCGCGGCCTTGCCGATGCCGCTGTTGGCTCCAGTCACCAGGAAGGACCTCCCGGCCACGCTCACCTCCACGTCCCCGGGGTCGAAGCGCTGGGACGCGGCCTCGTAGCCGCTCCTGCA